TTTCCATAGTGTGCTCTCCCTCTCTTCCATCTTCCTCCTTCTCCCTCCTCAAGAGATTTGGTTTGGTTGTGTCACCTAAGGCTGGCTGCAACCTCCCAGGCTTAAGGAACCCTCCTGCCTCAGTTTTCTAAATTGTTGGGACAAGTGCGTTCCGCTATACATGGTTCCATGGAGTTTTCGTAAGTGAAATGCTTACATATTTTAACGTGTCCACATTGCTCTATGCCTTTATTTATAAATCTAAACCCAGCAATCCATTATGTGGTATATAGCAGGCATAGGTAAATCTAATTGATACGAATCTACTGAAAGCCTAACCTTTCCCCTGCACATCATGGTCAAAATCCCAGAAGTCCAACAAATCTTAAAAGGTGTTAGAGAGGAAAAAAATGAATCATTTATAAAGGTAAACCCTTTACATTACAGCAGGCTTCAATACAACCTTAATGGCTAAGGGAGCTTGGAGTGAAAGCACTTCAGTCCTTAAAAGAAAACCATTTCCAACTTCTGGGAAGATGGCAGAGTGGAGAGCAGGAACAAGTCATTTTCTCTGAGGTTTGGAGCTGGAAGACAGCGATTTGGGGAAGAGAGGGAGGTGGATCCCTGGGACCCTGAAAGGATCTGAAGGAAAGATTGGAGCCAGCGGAGAAAGTGAGGAGGGCAGGCCTTAGCGCAGAAAGATGGGAACTGCACGACCCTCCACACACACATGCACTCCCAGCTCTCAGCGCGAGAGAGGAGTATGGAATCTACAGAGGCACAGGGAGGGCTGGTGAGCCTGCAGGCCTCCCGGGAGAAACAAACCAGTAGAGCAAAGTGGTGGGCGACGCACTTTTCAGTGGCTGGCGAGTGACTCTGGTCCAGGCAACAGGCATGTTCCCTGGAGAGTGCCTGGCTGGGTGAATATTCGGGGAGTGGCCATGGGTTGGCTTCATCTCAGGGCTCCCAGTATTGGGGTCTTGTGGTGGCTAGGTGGGTGGTTATTACCGCAGGGGGTGTCCAGGGTTGGGGAGCTGTGGGCAGTGGCAAGAGATGACCAGAATGTTGCTGGCTGAGGACTCAAGCCCCAGCCCCACAGCTGGAGACCAGGATCAGCCTGAACTTCTGTGGAGCTGAGAGGGCCAGAGTGGGTGCCTTGCCCCGACCTTACTTCATGTTCACCGGGATTATCCAGCACCGCTCCCTAATCCTACTGCAGAATTACTGGGGTTACTCAACACAGATCTCTGACTTGGACGTTACCATAGAACTATAGACACCATAGGCTTGAAGTCACAGATAAATTTTTCTGCTTTTTTTCTGTTTCTTGATTATATTTTTATTTTTCTGTGAGTGTGAACATTGTTTTCAGTTTTGTCTTGTTTTGCTTTGTTCTTGTTTTTTCTTTACCCTCTTTCTCTCCTGTCTTCACCAATTTCCTGAAGCTTGAGTAATCTCTTTGCACTTCAGCCTTGCCTCTAATTTCTTTCTCTTCTATTTGTCTATTTTTCTCTTATCCACTTTTGTTTTTTGGTGCCGGGGATCAAACTTGGGCTCTTGTGCTTGCAAAGCAGGTGGCAGAACCACGGAGCCAAATCCCTGGCCCCTCTCTATCTACTTTGAATTCTCTCCCCTGAGGGCAAACTCGCTTTAATAAGTGGATTTTGACTGTGTATAATTTTCTGATTTGTTTTAGCTTTTGTTATATAACTATAAAAGCTTATACCCATAGTTGAGTGGCAAATTAATATTTATTACAGCTGGTAATTTTCTAGTTTGTGCTTGATGCTATTGTTATTACTGGTCATATTACTTTAGCCAAGGTGACATAGGTTGTTGTTCCTTGTAAGCCAATGCTGAGATTGTCTTGGGGTCATAAACAATACATAGTCCAGTACCAGAGAACTGAGTGCTAGGCCAAACAGACACCAAACTTCAATCCCTAACAACTTGAAGAGCCAGGATCTTGGGACAGACTCACAAGCCAAAATCCAGCTTCACATAGAAGACGTCTCTGAAAAGTAGTCATTTCCTAAATAAATTTCAGTACTAGTAAAAAAGCTACCTAACATAAGTAATTTACAAACATCAATAGAGAAAACATTTTTTAAAAAAATAAAAAATGTGAAAACATGGAAGCAAGATGCAACCCCAGGCCCCTATCTCACCCAAGGCAAATTCAGGGGTCGTTGAAGTGAAAGAAATAAAAAGCCACCCAGGTGGTCTTTCTGAAATCGTAGCAGCAGAAGTACCAAAGCAGATGAATGAGGCTGTAGACCCTCCCCAAAATAATTACACAGTTTACTAAAGAGATGATGACCATAATGAAGGACATCATTAACGAATCTAAAGTAGATACAGAAAAAAGAGGAACTTAGGAAAGTGATGGAAATTATGTATGCCCAACACAGGAAAGATTCCATAAAACAGATTTGAACAGAATATCCAGGAGATTAAAAATTCTATGGAAATTCTACACAGCATAATGTGGAGACTATCAGATCTAGAAAACAGGTTTATGATTAGCAATCACCAAATGAAAGATTTTTTGAAAATGTCATGGGACCATGAAAAGTCAATCCAACACCTGCTAGATGACACAAAGAAAAATAACATGAGATTAATCAGAATCAATGAAAAATCAGGAGAAAGCAGAAAGGACATTAAAAAGCCTGTCGACAGAAGTAATAGAAGAAAACATCCCAAACACGGAAAAAGAATTTGACAAGTGAGGTATATAGAACTTCAATTAGCCATGATCAGAAAAGCTACACCAAGGCAAATAATAGTCAAGATTGCAGAAATTCAACACAAGAATAGAATATTAAGGCTGGGGATTTAGCTCAGTGGCTCTGCCACCTGCCTTGCAAGTGCAAGGACCTGAGTTCAATCCCCAGTACCAAGAAAAAAAAAAGTATTAAAAGCTGTTCAAGAAAAGAAACAAATCACCTATAAAGGAAAACCCATCAGAATCACAGCAGATTTCTCAGCAAAAATCCTTAAGTCAAGAAGAGTTTGGAGGGAAGCGTTTCAAGCCCTAAAAGAAAATAATCTCCAAAACATAAGAACTAAGATGGATTATATACAATAGAGTACTATTCTGCCACAAAGAAGGATAAACGAGACATTTTTAGGTAAATGGATGCATCTTGAGACCATACTTTTAACATTTTTATACTATTTTTATTTTTATTTTGATCCAGGGATTGAAAGGACCTTGTGCTTTTGAGGCAGGCACAGTGCCATTGAGCTAAATAAATAAAAATAACAACAACAAAATACCGTTTTTGATCTACAGTTTCAACAATCTCCAAGAATTCTGGGTAGGATAAGAGGAAAAGAAATCAAATATCACACTATACCTGCTAAAACCCAAAGATAACAGAATTAAAAGCACCCAAAGAAAAACTTTAAAAAGCAACAAAAGGGCCAGGGATTTAGCTTAGCGGTTCTGGAGCCTGCCTCGCAAGCGCAAGGACCCACGTTCAATCCCCAGTACCCCCCAGTAATAAATAAATAAATAAATAAATAAATAAATAAATAAATAAATAAATTTTAAAAAAGCAACAGAAATTCTGAACACTGACCTCTCAAGGAAACTCTGAAGGCAATGAGCATACACGTACATATATACATGTATAGTACAAATGCCCTACCAAGTTATAGTTGATTTTTTGAAAATCGAAATGAAGATAGCCAGGTGAGAAAACACCTTCCTGTAATCCCAGCTACTTGGAAAACCAAAAGTTTGAGGCCACCCTGGGCAGTTAAGGAAGATGGTCTCAGAATAAAAAATTTTAAAATGGGCTGGTGGTGGGCTTACTGGAGAGTGCTTGCCTAACATTTGGGAAGCCCAGAACCACAAAAAAATATATATGAGCAATATTTTAGGCAACCCCAAAAATGGGAGAATTTTCTCCAACAAATTCTTCATCATACTATAGGAACAAGAGAAGGCAGAGATCCAGACGTGACCTCAGATGGAAGCTCGGGGCTGGTTTCATGAAGAGGGGGAAAGAGATGAAGGACTATGCGGGCCACACTGGCACCTCATGAGCGTTCACTGGAGAAGCTCCCGCTGCAAAGCAGAGGAACATGTGAGCTTCAGTAAGGGTAATAATACAATGGATCAAAATCCTGAAGTATGTCTAAATCCACAAGATCGAAATGATCTAAAACATAAAACCAAACAGCAACAACAAAAAAACTAACTGGCCCACTACGGAAGGATGAAAGGGAACAAAATTGTTATCTTAAATATTGGATAAGGAAGACAAATGCTTTAAAATTGCATATTCTAGGGCCAGGGATTTGACTCAGTGGTTCTGCCTCCTGCCTTGAAAATGCAAGGTCCTGAGTTCGATTCCCGGTACAAAAAAAAAGCATGTTCTATAGCAGTGGTGGCGAAGCTATGGCATGTGCCTTAGCAGTTTGCGTTACTGAAGCTCTAAAAGTTTCACTGTCACTGTTCTTGGGCATTTAAATGATAAAGCAGGGGAAGCAATTCTATGGAATACCCTAGGTAATAAAGAACTGGTAGAATTGAGATGCTTCCATTTGCAGTCCCCCAGTGGAATGATGGGTGCAGGCTCTGAGCAGGTGAGCACCGAGTCCAGCTGACCTCAGCACAGAGACAGCCAGTCCTGCCCCTGCCCCAGGAGACAGCCAGCTCCACCCACGCCTGGCCAGGGACGGACCTGAGGGTGCTCAGGCCTCTAGAGCCAACTCCTGCATCGCAGAAAACACCGAGGACAAGGAGGGTAGGGAGCTGCGGGGACACTGGAGCTGACGGAAAGTGGCCGGGCTGGCACCTGAGTCTGTGTGCAGGGGGAGCAGGGCTGGGGCCGAGGCGGACAGGATGGAAGCTGAAGGCCATTCCAGGGCTCTGGCTGCGGGGAGGCTGAAGGCAGGAGAGGGACCTGGAGCCTGCGGAGGAGGCGGAAGCCTTGAGCGGAAGCTGCTGTGAGCCCGGTACCGCTGACCCTTCAGGGCTACGGACTACAGAGCCGGGCAGGGCCTCGGCCTCCAGAGAGCTCTGGGGGTGCGGCCGCTCCGGCAGGCGGTGTGGACTCTGTGTGGGGGACACAGAAGGACCTCGGCCGTCTGAGAGGAGAGCTGCAGCCCGGTGAGGGACCCGATGCCACGCTTGGTGGCTGATGTGGACAGTGCAGTCCCACGTCCCCAGGGGTCACACAGTGAGACACATGCAGTCGGTGTTTCTGAACAGAGCGCTTTACTGGGGATCCGTGGAGAAGGGCAAGGAAATATGCTCAGTTTGCTGCCAGGATCTCCTGAACCCAGGGCAGGAGCGCAGTGACACGAGCGTACACAGCAGGAGTAGAGGTGCTGCAGGTGTTACTGCCCCAGGACACGATGCCTACCAAGTTCCAGGCTCCATCCTTCTGGCACACCAGGGGGCCCCCAGAGTCACCCTGCAGGGAGGGAGAGGACCTGACTGCAAGCCTGAAAGGGGAGCCTGGGCCAGCAGGGGCAGGGAGGGGGTGTAGGGGTGACAAGCGTGGGCACAGGGGCTCTGCCCAAGCTACTTCCGTCTGGGTGCCATGCAGTCCAGCGCTGGTGCCTACTCCTGAGGACCCTGTGCTGGTGGCTTCCTCTAAGCCTGACCATTGCTTCCCATGCACTGGCACCTGTGCTCCCGGGGCCGGGTGAGAACTGAGCCCCACGGGCAGCAGAGCACAGTTTTCGGGGGGCTGCCTTGGGACGCTTGCTAGCACCAGTGGAGCCTTCTAAGTAGGGAGGGTGGGGGAGCCCAGGCCTTTGTGCGGGGTTGCCATGTCCCTCCTAGTTCGCGTGGACCGTACCATGCAGGAGGAGACGCCGCTGGCTCCGGCACAGATCATCACGTCCGTAATCTTGGTACCCCAGTACTTCTTACAGTCAGCAGTGGACACCAAGGGCAAGACTGCCTGCTGCAGCTTGTCAGGGGTCTTGTTGGCTACAGTGAAAGTGGAGATGGAATCACGGCCCCCCTCCCAGCCCACCCTCATCTGTACCCCAAGTCCAACCCCCAAGCCTGAAGAGATAGCTCTGCTGAAGGCTCTGCCGGAGGGCATGGGCAGGTTGCTGCGGGGCCCTTGCTCCTGTCTACCGCTCTCTTCAGGAGCTTCCTGTCAAGTATACTTCTATTAGACCTCAGTTTATTTGTATGTGGTAGATTTTTAACTTATCCTTGTCTTAATTGGCATATACTAATTATATATTTTATATATTTTTGAGAGAAGGTCTTGCCATGCAGTTCAGGCTGGCCTTGAACTCACTGTGTTCCCTAGGCTGGCCTTGAACTTGCAACAATTCTCCTGTCTTGGCTTCTCAAGTGCTGGGATTACAGAATGTGCTGCCACATGCAGGTGTTTTATACATTTTTAATTTTAAAATCATTTGGATCCCATGTGGGGGATTCCTGCTGGCTAGGGAGAGCTCCTGCTGTGGAAAGCTGCATCGCACTCACCATTGTACTTGGTCTTGCCCCAGCCGGTGGTGACACACAGGGTCCCATCAGAGAAGTTATCACTGGCACTGGGAAGGCACACGGCGGACACAGTCTTAGAGAACTGAGCGGGTTTGGACAGCTTCAGCAGGGTGACGTCATTGCGCACAGTGAGCATGCTGAACTTGGGGTTCTTGAAAACCTGAGGGCGACAGCCACAACTTCAGTGAGAACCTGGAGCAGCTGGGCCACATCTCCCAGGAGGACAAACTGCTGTCTTCTGTCCTGGTACCTTTGCAATCTTCAAGACCTGCACGTCCTCCTTATCAGAGCCTTGGTCATACTCCCCAGCCACCACCACATCAGACGTTCTAAGCATGGACACGGGAGGGAGGGGTCAAGAACAGGATGGGCTCTGCCCCCCCACACCTACTACCCTCCCATACCCTGGAGCTGGGTGCAGAGCCTGGGCTGCCTACTCACGAGACCCCGCAGTGGGCAGCGGTGACCACCCAGTCTGGGCTGATGAGGGAGCCCCCGCAGAAGTGGAAGCCGGTTTTGTCCTAGAGAGGAAGGAGGGAGGGTCACAGCTACTGCCTGGGCAGCACCCCAACCTGGAGAGCCAGGATTCCCAGCTCACCTGGAGGGACACCTGCCAGGGCCAGGAGCCAGGGATAGCATCCTCGCCGTTGACGATCCTGGCCAGGCCACTCAGCACTGGTTCGATGGTAGGGACTCCACAGCCTGGTTGGAGGTAGGAGTGGGTGAGGAATGTATGTGTCCTGGAGCCAATCTGGGCCTGACCCACCAGTGTTCCAGAGCTACTGGTTTCTACCATAGGGCACCCAGCCCAGATCAGGATCCCCATTCCACAGCTGCCTTTCTCTGAAAAGTCCTCCTGACTTCTTCCAACCTCTATGCTGGAGACTGCATCCTGCAGCTTGCTGACCCCAGTCGTCTTGCACAGGTGCAGAGGGACTCGGCTGTCCCCACCCGGGCCTGTCTGCCACAGGAGAAGACAGCTGGGCCTGATATCAGACTGCATGGGCTTGGCCTCTAGGTCCCCTCCCGGCCGTGTGGCCTGGGACCAGGGGCTCCACAGTGTTCTCAGCTGCTCAGAGGGAGCAGAACAACGCTGACCGCAGAGGTCACCGCGCATCTGTCAGGCAGGCGGGAGCGGCGGGTGGAACTCACAGCTGTGACCACGTCCTGGGGCCTCCAGAGCCCAGACGCTAGGCCGATGGAGGGTGAGAGGGCACCGGTTCACGCCACAGTACCCAGGCGGGATTCGCCACCTCTACAGCACCTCACCATTTAACTAACTGTTGATCTGGTAAAGGTTTGGTTTCTCAATTATTTAATGAAACAAGACTTTGATTCCAGACCATAAAAGGCCACATCGAGGAGGAGTTGAATGAACTAGGAGAAAACAGGTGTGCTGGGCGGACCCTGAGTACAGCAGGTTCCCAACCCTGTACCAGTTCACACTTGGCCTTTACCCCAGAACATGTAGCCCCGGCCACCTCTGGAGTCCTCGCCTGCCCACAGGAGCGAGGACACAACGAGGCCTTCAGTGAAGACTGGTGCTGCCAAATGTGAAAGCCACAATAATCTATTTTTATAATAGCAAAAATGGAGAGAATAATTAGGTATTGAAATAGCAGAGAGTACATTTGATTCCAAGAATTGGATCTACATGGCTATGCGGATAAATCCAAGCATTATGAGTAGAAAAAAGCACATTGTAAAACTGAGGCAGAGTAAAATGCTACTTAGAGAAATTATAAAAATGTTTGTTTATGGATGTGTTTGTGTGTATGTAGTACATTTTTATGAGCCAGTGTAAAATGATGGCAGAGCTCAGAACAGGAAGAAAGAGAGAGCAAAGGAAAGCTTTAGCTAAATCACTTTAAGTTTTAAAAATAAATGTCTCCTTTTGTCTTTTTGGACCTCTGGAAGCAACATGGGTCACCAACGTGCTACCAGTGTTTCCATCAGAAATCAAAGAATATTGGCTCCATCAAGTCGGACTAAGTGATCTTCCTCAGATGAATTACCCAGGGCATCCACTCAGTGGAAAAGACTACGCTAATTTTTTGTATATAAAATTTAACAATTTAAAGCCTTAAAAAAAAGAAGAAGGAAACATCTAAGCCAGGCACAGTGCTATACCTACAGTTCATGCTTACTAGGGAGATGAGGCAGGAGGATCACTTGAGCTCAGACGTTCTAGATAGAGTAGGCAACATAGTGAGATCCTGTCTCAAAAAATAAAACCCAAAAGAACAAAAAAATATCTGGAGCAAATCTGCAAAAAGGTAAGATCTGTTAAATCTTGACTGCATATACATGGGTGTCACCTAATTTTCTGTATTTTAAAATTTCTTTGTGTGTTTGTGATGCTAGCGATTCAACTCTGGGCCTTTGGACTGAGCTATATTCTCAGTCCTTCATTTAAAATGTTTTGAGAAGACAGGGTTTTGCTAAGGCACTAAATTGCCCAGGCTGGACTCTAATTTATAATTCTCCTGCCTCAGCCTCTCAAAGTGCTGGGATTACATGTGCATGCCACAACCCTGGCCTTTCTTAATTTAATAAACAAAAAGCTCAGTGCAAGCCCAGCACAGTAAATAAAACCCTGCCTGGAAGCCTGGTGAGGGCTGTGGTTACCTCCTACCCTGCCCACCGGTGCTTCTGGAGCCACCAACCACGGCTGGGCCAGTGCATCTCTTCCACTCCTTTTGCAGGGAGCGAGGAATCTGAGAGCCCCTGAAGGACCTTCTCCTCCCTGCAGCCTCAGGTCCCTCAGCCTGGGTGAAGCCAAGGGGCTCACCTCCGGTTGGGGACAGAGCCCCAGGTTCATCTGGTGGGACCCGGCTGTGGGGGTCATGAAGGTTTAAGGCCCCCTCCCCTCCCCACATTCTCCAGGCCTGGGGGCCCCGGCTCCCCACACTCACCATGGGCGGCCCCTAGGAGGGCAAAGCAGGACAGAAGCCAAAGGGAGACCATGGTGCTGCTGTCAGGGAAAGTGGTGTCTCCCTGTTTTGGGGCCCCTTTTATGTCTCCTAGTGTCCCCTAAACCATGCCCAGCCAGGGAGGCCTGAGGGCCACCCCCACTTATCCAAGGTCTTTGGGCGATAAGTGGGGGCCAATTTCCTCTCTCAGCCAGGCTGGTTCAAAGCCTGGAAATTCCCCGCTCTTGGGAAAGGGACAGCTGCCCTGTACCCACTCCATCTGCAGCCTGGGCAATACCATGGCCAAGGCCAGTGCCAGGGCAGGAAACTGGGCCCTGAGGAATCCGGCTCATGCAGCTTTTGCCGGCAGGCTAAGCAAGAGACCCTGCTGTCCCTAGTGCCTCAGGGAGTCCTCAGGGAGGACTTCCAGCCATGAATTAAAGGCATCGCTCCCTCAGGGTTCTGAGGAGCCCCACCAGTGGTGGCTGGGGCCTCAGAATTCTCCAGTGCTGGCCCAGGATGCTGAGTATTGTAGAACAGCGGAGAGTAGTTTAATGATGTTCATCTAAAAGCAAAGCACTGGGTGGATGATGAAAAATAGACAAGGGGGTCGCCTTGTCATCAAGTAGTTTGAGTGTAGGAGGGTGAGAAGAGTGGCCTGGGCTTCAAGATGGCAAAGCCAATTCCAGGCCTCCCACCTATGGTCAGTGCTTAATGGAATTCTTCTGTGATCCTTCACAATTGAAGGAAACAGTCTTTGTATGCAGCATTAGTTTATTATCAAATGGGGCCTTGGTGTCGCACCACAAAATAATAGAACAAACTATTGTCATAGGACAACATGACAGTTGTGCCAGACACACGGGCAGAAGTGGGGGCAACATGTATTTTTAGGGCCCTGCACTGTTTCCAGCTCTAAGGATAGGTGAGGAAACCGAACCAATGAGAATAGAACTCAGCATTGCAGAGCACAGAATATGGTGACAGTGGTGGGATGTACAGGTCTTGCTGGGTCCATATAAGTGACAGACACAGTTAGTGAACTGAAGCTTCCTCTAAGGCCCTGGGCTCTAAAGTCACCAGGGACACGTCATCCAGGAGGAACCTGGTCCAGGTGAACAGAACAGTGGCACTGGGCTTGTTAGGGAAAAGCTGTTGATTTGAACTTGGTGCATTATGAAGTTTCCTTTGTCTTTAACTTACAAGTTCAGCCTAGTGCTGTGTCTTCCAGCAGGGAGGAGTCATGATATCAGCTTGTGGCCAAAGCAGAAGCTCCAGCTCCCAGTGGCCATGCAGGCAGGGTTAAGAGTCCTGCAAGTCCTGAACCCCCATCTTGGAGACTGTGGTCCCAGCACTGCTTTCCCAGTCAGTACTGTGGCTTTTCCACATTGTTCTCATGTGGTAGCTGTCAGTGTGTCACCAAGCAGCAGCCTGGGATCTGAATACAAGGAATTTGTATTTCAGTTCCAGGCCAGGGGGCTTTATTTCTTATTTAATTTTAATTAATTAATTAATTAATTAATTAATTTGTTTTTTTGGTTTTTTTGAGACAGGGTCTCACTATGTCATTGAGACTGACCTGGAACTCATTATGCAGCCTAGGCTGGCCTTGAACTCATAGCGATCCTCCTGCCTCAGCCCCCCGAGTGCTGGGATTACAGGCGTGCACCACCACATGCGGCCAGGGGGGCTTTATTGAAATACTAAGGTTTGCCAAGTTTTTCCCATCACCCATTCTATTTCCCTTGCCTTGGAGATTTCTCCAGAGCAGAAAACAAAAGCAGCCTGAAGTCACGGGCTCTTCCTGCCCACTGTAAAAGCTCCTTGAAGATCTGAAGGGCATCTGTCCCTGGGAGGCTCAGAACAGAGGAGGGAAACCTTGAGAAGAGCTGTGGCAGGGCTAGGGACAGTGGGCTGACATCTGCATGTTTGCTGCTGTGTCTTTCATACCCAGCAACTTCTTTTGGTCTCCAGCCCTGTTCAAACCAGCCCTGGCTGCATGCTGATGTCACCAAGGGACGCCTTGTGCCACCACCTCCAGCCGTCTCCACTTCCTGTCCAGATGGAGGAGGCTTCTGGGGAGGCCCAGCTCTCCCATTTGATAGTCAGTGAACGCCGATCAATACAAACCCAAAGGGGCAGTGAAAGGGAAGCAGAACGTGGTCCCACAGCAGTGTGGAGCTCAGCCACCGTCCTGGGCCCACGGGAGAACCACAGAGACCCTTGCCTGAGCCACAGCGTCAGGTGCCGCCAAGCAGTAGCTTACCTTGAGTTACTGCACGTGGGAGAAAGGTGAGTATGCATTCTTTAGCCACAACTGGACAGGCATTTGATTAGAGAGAGGGTCTAAATGAAAATGTCATAACGGTCCTGCTTTTGCCTTCTTACCACCACCCTGTGCCCCCAGGAGCCTGACTCTGGGAAGGAACATAAATCTTTCAGTGGCAGCCATTCTTGGTGGCACACACCTGTAACACAAGCCCTGTCCCCTGCGGGGACAGGAGGACTGCAAACTCAAGCCCAGCTTGAAAAATTGAGTGACTTAGTGAGACTCTATCTGAACATTTAAAATAAATAAGTGAACAAATGAATGAATGAATGAATAAATCAGGCCTTTCTGCCAACTGCCTTGCAAGCACAAGGACCCAAGTTTGATGCCCGGTACCAAAGTAAATAAATAAATAAATAAGGGCTGGGGAATGTAGCTCGATGTGAAGGCCCCAGGTTTATTCCTTACTAATATCCACCCTCCAAGAGAAGAAAAATAACCTTTTAGTGACAGCCTGGATGGTGGCCTTATAAGAACATACCAAATCTCAGAACCCCTAACACCCCTGCTATGGCCTCGGTCCCGTAGCAAGAGTAGGCCCAGCAATAGACTAGAAAATTCAAAATTCTCGATGTCCCCCAGCACCCACAACCTTTGCCTTGAGACTTTATTTCAAGTTGGAAGGAGACAGGCTCAAAATTTAAAGGCACATGGCCAGACTGCATATAAAAGCCGATGTCCAAATTTTATCAACAGCAGCAGCAGCAGCCCAGGCAGCCCAACAGGAAGAGGAACCCCAGCACATGTGTCCCAGTGATCAGCAGGTGATGCATAACCACATCTTCACCTCACTTCCAATTCAGGACCAAGGGAAGATGAGGGAAGACTGTGGCTATACATCACCCGCTGATCACTGGGACAGGCCTGCTCTTGTGCATGACCCTGATGCCAGGCCTCACTCCAGCGAGTGGCTGGGCAGGGATGTAGATTCTGGGCTCCTTATCCCTGTCTAGAAGAGGCCGGCCCCCGTTGACCATTTCTTGTGATGGTTGGGTCTCCCAAGCGCATCTCTGACTTACACTTCTGGCTTTGCTCTGGAGCCTAAACCCCTTGTGTGTCCACCCAGTCTTGAAGTTCTCTGCTTCTCAGAAGGAGCAAGAAAATTTCATGAAGGTGACTCTTAGAATGAGTTACACTCAGATAGGGTACAGGAATCCAATCCTTCTGTTTTGCTATTAAAGGAAACTGGATAAGCATTGTTGAAAACCATTTGGCAGTTTCCATGAGCATACATACCTGTGTTAGCATTTTGGTCCTGGGATCAAGTAGCAAAGAAAGTGTTATTTTGGCTCATGGCTGCAAAGGATCCAGCCTATGGACAGCTGGCTCAGTTGTGTTTAGACCTGTGAGGTGGCAGGAACATCATGGTGGCAGACCTGGCATAGGGAAACTGCTCTGCTTATGGCATCTGGGAGGCAGAGCAAGAAGGAAAGAGCCAGGGACGAAGGGGCTGAGGACCAGATGCAATTCCCAAGGTTGTGAGACCATGATCCACTCCTTCAGCCAGGCCCCATCCCTTTTCTATCACCTCCCAAAATTGCCATCAAACTGTGATCTCATGAGAGCGATACAGGGAGAATAGATATAACTCCCAAACCTGCTAGATATCCGAAACATGAGTTTGTGTTCTCTAAAATAGAACAATGAATTCTAGGAACAAAGGAGGCTACGAGTAGGAACAATTTATTGAGAAAAAGATAGCTTGTGTCTAAGACAGAAAGGGGACCAGAAAGTGGGTCACCTTGGGTTTTTTTATTTAATGGAATAAAGCCTTGAAGTGAGGCATGTTCAAGATGGGACAAAACTGTAGTCAACTAGTAAGATTACAAGTACAGTCACTTAGGTAGTATTGATCCAGTGGGAAATCACAAGGTGGATATGAGGTGGGACAAAATTATGATCAACCAATAAGATTACAACAAGTATAATCACTTGAGTAATATTGATTTGATGGGGATCCAACGGGGAAGCAAGTCACGAAGCAAGCATACAAGGACTGAACAAAGATTTTTCCTGGAAGGGATAGGTTAGGGATCTTTCCTGGAAGGGATGGGTTAAGGCTGTGATCCCCTACCCAGATGACTGAAGCCTATTTAGAATATCAATAAGTGCTATTCATCCCTGGGAAAAGTTTGTGGTGTAGTAGTTTCTCTTTTTACAATGCTGGCCTTCAGTGAATGTCTCGATTGTCTCCATGTTGGCTTCTCTAGGGTTGGCCCTGTGTAACTGCCTACAAGTTAACTTACCTCTTGACAATCACAGCATTACTCTACCGATGAAGTCATGGACCCAGTCAGGACCCAACCACTTCCCACAAAGCCCATCAAGTGTGATCCCACCACTCTGAGGGGTGCTGAGGCAGGGGAACTGTAAGTTTGAACCCAGCCTGGGCATAGCCAGACCCTGCCTTAAAATGAAAAAATAAAAAGAGCTGGGGATGCAGCTCAGAGGCAGAGCACCTACATAGCATTGGGGAGGCCCTGGTATTGAAAAAAATGATCAGACTCTACATTGTATTTGTATGTATTTTACCACAATTTAAGGGTTTTGTTTTTTGGCTTTGTTCTTTGAGACAGGGTCTCACTATTGTTCAGGCTGTCCTTGAACTCACTATGTAACACAGCCTGGCCTTAAATTTGAGGCAGTTCTCCTTCCTCAGCCTTCCAAGTGCTAGGGTTATAGTCACCAGGCCAGGCAAACTTAAAATTTTTAAAGGATCAAAATGA